CCTGCAATAAGCCCTCCCCCGGTAAATCTAGCTATTGGAGGGGTGGGGAGGGGAAGGAGCAAGGCTGGGGGTACCCCAGCTGGGGTCTCTTACCATTTCCTGGGCTCCAGCTGCTAGTCCCCAGGCTGGGGAGGGATGGGACTTACTCTTCCCCTGCACAGCTGCTCTCAAGTGGAGATCAGAGCCACTTCTGGATACCGCCCCCTGCTGCAGGAAGCTCTGTGGCTGGGCAGCAGCCGCAAGAGGTTCCTGGAGGTGGAGGTGGGTCTGTACTGCGGGGAGCACTCCAGCCGGGGTCTCCTAGCTGCTAGCCCCAGCTGGCGTGGGGAGGGACAGGACTTGTTCTTCCCTTGCACAGCTGCTCTCGGGGGGAGATCAGACCCATCTCTGCGTACCTCCCCCTGCTGCAGGAAACTCTGGACTAGCAGCTAGGAGCCCCTAGCTGGGGTGCTCCCAGCAGCATGGGGGAGATCAGACCCACCTCCAGGAACCTCCTGCAGCTGCAGGAAGCTCTGTGGCTGCTGCCTTCAGAGCTGGGCTCTGAAAGCAGAACAGAAATATGGGTGGCAATCCCGCAGCCTCCCTACAACAATTTTTCAACCCCCCCAACCCCCTTTTGGGTTGGGACCCCCATGGTTACAACACCATGAAATCTCAGATGTAAACATCTGAATTCATGAAACTGACCAATTTTCAAATCCTATGGCCGTGAAATTGACCAGAATGCACTGTGGATTTGGTCGGGCCCTAATTATAAGAGCTATGTGTACAGGGCCGGCTCAAACTTTTTTGCCGCCCCAAGCAAAAAAAAAGAGCGCTGCCCCACTGAAACACACACCCCCCCAGCGCCGTACCACCAAAACACCCACCCGAGCGCCGCACCATGCCACCAAAACATACCCCCGAGCGCCACGCTGCGCCGGCAAAACACCCCCGCGAGTGCTGTGCCGATGAAACACCCCCCTCCCAGCTCCTGCACCGCCGAAACACCCCCCCCGAGCTCCACGCCATGCCGCTGAAACAAAAACAACCCACCCC